GCAATCCACTCACCTCAGCCTCCCAAGGCGGGGATTATAGGCTGAGCCACCGAGCCCGGTGGTATGTAGACTTCTAAGGACAGGTCCAGAGAATGAGATTATTAGTATTAAATGTGAATTGTCACTTCTAGGCTCTCAGTAACCAGGTGAGCAACATGACTTGCTCATTGGAGGTCAGTAGGCCTCTTTCCTCAGTTACCTCCTGTGCTTGCTCTACGGGCACTTGCACAGAAGTGATCATGGTGGTATGAACAGAGACTATGTATGGGCTCCACAACAGGCTCACAAAGGCGGATGTGACTACTCCCAACTTTTCAACACTGTATTGAGTTCCTGATATGTACCAAAGTGAAGGGACCCAGCCAAGTGCCTGGGAGTAGGTTAATTACATTGGACCCATTACATCATGGTAGTTAGTTGGATTTATGGTTTCTCTGGAATAAGTGAATATTCTAGGTATGGATTTGCCTTTTCTACCTGAAGTATTTTTGTCTCACTGCCACCTGTAATCTCACAGAATACCTCGTTCACTATTATGAAATTCCAGTATAGATGTTAGCCAAATACACTATAGTGAAGATTTGTCTTGTTGGTATCTATTTACCTTCCTAATGGCACTCGATTTCCTTTTAGAACAATATAGTTCTCCCATTGGAATCGACAGAATTTTAGAATGGCCCACAAGATTCCTACCCCATATACCTTCTAGCAGTTATTCAGTAAAACACTAATCTAGATGCTGCTGTAAAAGGATTTTGCACATATAATCAAAGTTCAAAATTAGTTGACCTTAAAATAGAAAGATCATCCTGGATGGGCCTGACCTACTTAGGTGAGACTTTAGAGGGGACTGCACTCATTTTGGCAAGCAAGATTTAAAGAGTGAAGAATCTGAAGTGCAGAAATTCTCCATTCCTGGATTTGAAGATTGAGATGCTACATGGCAAAGAATATGAGTGGCCTCTGTGAGCTAAGTGCAACCTCCAACTGATAGCCAGTGAACAAATTAGGACCTTAGACCTACAGCTTCAAGGACAGAAGTTCTGCCAACAATCTGAATGACATTAGAAGGCTCCAGAGAGAAGAAATGGCAGCCCTGCTGGCACCTTGATTTCTACCTTACCTGAACAGATAACCCAGTCAAGCCATGCCTTGACTTCTGACTTATAGTAACTAGGAGATAATAAATGAATGCTGTACATTAGATCTCCAGAACTTATTTATCCTCTTTAACTGAAAGCTTGTACCTTTTGACCAATATCTCCCCATTTCCCCCAACCTCCAGCTCCAGTAGGCACTATTCTACTCTCTGTTTCTGTTTCACTTTTTTAGATTCCATATACAAGTGAGATCATGCAGTCTTCCTGTTCCTGGCTTCTTTTTTTTTATTTTAAAAATGTGGGGTACATTCAGGGTCAAGTATACAAATGATCATTATACAGGTGCCCTTGTTGATGTGGTGTGTCCTCCCATACAAATGGTCATTATGCAGGTGCCCTTGTT